TGGGAACCCCAACCAAAGCCTTCAATGCAAAAGTCTGATCCACTAGACAATGGGGTGTAGATCCAACACGATGACGCAACCGAAGCACAAATTAAGAGGCTTCTACAGACCTGCCAGGTAAGACCTTGGAGTTTTATTTAGCATTTTGTTCTCCGGTGTCTTGGTTATCTATCAGCCGTCTCGGTTCAGACCCGAATCTCTTTTGACTAATAAGAACGAAGAAAGTGGAAACAACAAATACTTGGCTGACTGGTTGCTTCATTGGGCATGCGGTAGTTGTAGAATAAAGCACTAAGACCGATAACCTGGTCCTACCCATTTTTATGCGAAATAGTAAACTCGCCAGGGGGAAATCGTATTTTTAGAATAAAGGCCAGCTTGTGTTTATTCAACTGATCTTTGTCTGTCATCTACTCATTTGCCTTTCAAGTAAGATTAGACATAGGGCCGTGAAAGCCATCCTGTTCAGCTAGCTGGGTCATGGAGGTAAGCAAGCCACGTTGAGGTGCAAATTGCTGTCCCACTAAACAAAGCGGTGACTCAAAACTACATATTTCTGCCGCAGATAACAGACAAAGGTGGGATATCCGTATTTTCACAGATTAATTGGTTGTTAACTAACACCAATATGGGCTTTGGTTCAGTCTTAGAGGATTAAACAATAACGTCGACTGTATCGTTTGCTTTCAATCAACACAAACCCAAATATTGAAGTGCCTGTAGGACGAACCATTTACGAGAAGAGATTGGTAAAAACAATTTACCATTCAAGCCTAACCCCAATGCAAGGTATTTCCCGGGTCGGGGCGGAATACAACAGTTTACATCCATTCAGATTACCGGGTGTTATAAAGTGCGGATTATACAAGTGCATCGACGAATTCATAAGCTGGCGTTGAAAAAAACAAAGGCGGCTGCATAATCATGTATTTTACACTGCACTGAAAACAAGTATGTACACAGATAACAGGTTGCAGCGGTTGGGCACTTCACGCTACGGGATCGAGTGGACGATTGAAGCCGCCCCGACGATTCATGTATTGACGATACTTCCGTTGTTTTGTGATATTTGCAACGTAAACGGAATTTCCAATTACATGTTTACCTTTCGTTGTGTCAAAATTGCAGAAGCCCATAATACGCATCATTTCTCGTTGATCGTCTGTCAACGATTCGTCATTCTCTATAGAAAACAGAAATACACGAATAAGAGGAGGTGGAAAAGTAATTAAGTTCAAGTGAGTCCAGCGCTTCCTAGCTTTTCAGTTCACGCTTCATTTGCTACATACATGTCGAATTCACCTTTGTAACTAAGTTCAATCAATGGTGACAATAGTAAGCAGAAACAATAAGCACTGCAAAATTCAGCAGAAAATAACATAATGACCAACTCTCTCAATTCTTCTTTACCAAACTTCTGTGTCCTAACGCGCATTGCACGTTGACACACAGGATTCACAGACGAAACAGTTTCACATCTAAGGAGATCAAAAAATATCAACTCCTATCTAATGTGTATCAAACTAACTTCAGGGTGTTCTCGAAGGGACAGTTGTCAGTTGGAGTAATCAAGAAGTTGCATTAGGTGCTTGGGACCAATGAGTTTCAGTTAAGGAAACCATAACATAATCTATCGGATACCGATGCTAAATGAAACGTAGGCTTATCCACCGCCCAAGCACTAGTTTATTTTAATAAGAGATCTGAAAAAATTGTAGAGTGCGGCTCTCTTTCAAATCTGATCGCCCTTGTACTCAGTCTCGCCGTCGTCTGGCAATAAAAACTCCTCAGATTACAGGCTAAACCGATTTCCGTTCTAGCCGCCATCCATAGACCAAACAAACTGTCCTGAAAAAACGGATCACAATCTTTGATCTGATAAACTGAAGATCGATCCGAAATCTCCTGGTAAAGCAGACACTAGATTTCAATGGGACTACGAATTAGAAGCTGTCAAAAACATCTCGCTCAAACAAGCTAAAACAACCAGAACAGATTCAAACGACAGTCAGTTTCCAATTATTCACATTCTTGTCTGTATCTATCATACAAGACTGGTGTCAGTGGGAATAGTCTTCCTTGAGATAGGAATTCGCCTTTTTGTGCCTGAACCGTGCGCACAAAACCAGCCGATTTAAACCCTCCATTTACCCTGGCATCAAGTTTATCATCCATATCACCACTACTGTCGCCACCGCCACCGCCACCGCCACCCAACTTTGGTGGTAGGCATCCCTGTTGTCGTCCGGTTCAATACCACAGCTAACTTATCGGGGCCTCATGTGGTTCGCCACTCCAAGTCCCGGGGCTTAGGTTACCCGTTCCCTTCAATGAACGGTCCTCGTGACTGTGGGATTCGCCCCGTCTGTTTTTCATCACATTAAAAAGTGTGTAAAAAAGTGCAAGTCAATTTAATTTCATACAAGAATGATAAACGCAGACACTCAGCCATTTGATGCAAATCTCAGCCACTTCAAAACTTAGATCAGTCTCTTCATACACTGAGAGCGGTCTTTAAAGATTACGATTTCAAAACCATTACCGCCGAAGATAACCAGGAAAACACAATAGTCGACGCGTTATCGCAGTAGTACTCTCTAACAAAATCAGGCAGAGTATTGAAAACGTAACATTAAGTTGGAAGAATACTTCTCATTGAGTATGACCAGTTGAGGTCACACAAATACAGTCTAGATCCGATACTTGAGTTAACTAGGCTGTCTGCTTTGGTACAACCGATGGGTCAAAGCAAAATATAGTTGGGTTATCTTGGGTGATTCTAAAACCACTATTTCATAGGCGACCGGTTTCTTTGGTGGTGTTCGGCGGCATCCTTAACATAAATTTCCTGTTTGAAATACTAAATGTAAAGCTTTCGGCAAGAAAGGCGCTTCTCAAAGGGTTCTTTACTCCACTGAGCAAACCAAGTCTACAGCATTACTTCAAATTCACCTCTGCCTCCGTTTCATATTTCATTCTTGTTTGATAAAAACCAATACCAATATTATTGTCAGTGATTTGAAGCTTCAAGGGCTGTTGAACAAAAGAAGCTCAAGAAGATATCTAGTTGAAAGTGCCGCAAGACACAATTGGTTGCCAGTGGAATGATTCGACGAAGTAAATTTTAGTCGCACCTACACGTCAAACCAGCAAAACTAGAGAATATTGCCTTTGATCACAAAAGTGCTTCTTATCCACTGTTCTGGTCTGTCCGTTCTGGTCGTACCTTACATTTTTCAGTTCATCACAAGGTTGCGTTTCTTTTTGAATATCTTAAGTGGGTACATTGGGGCAATATAGACACTAAGGATTCTGGTGAGAACCGCCGAATTTCAAATCTGAAAGCAGTTAATCGAAGGAATGCTCTATTATACACTCTCATGTGACGAACAGCAGACAGGATTCAACCCCACAGTCACGAAGACCTGCTGTTCAGTGATGGAAACCGGTAACCAAAGCCCCGAGACTTGTAGTGGTGAACCATATAAGGCCCCGATGGTTAGGCGCGGTACTAAACCGGACGACAGCAGAGCTGCCTACCACCAAATTTGGGTGGCAGTAGCGGGGCTCGAACCTCGGACCATGGGGTGCAAAGCACGCCGGTGACGGCGACTAGACCACCGCGCCACCACCACCATTGCTTCCATTAAAATCAGAGATGTGATGGCCCAAGGTTTCAGCTTAAAACTACATTAACTTAAATAACCTTTTTTGTGGCAGTAACACTAAGTGGTTCATGTCGGAAGGGAGCGGGAAGAATAGACTAGACAATAATAATGATGACGAAGATGATGGTGATGGCAGTGGTTAAGTTCACCATCACTACCGCGCTTCAGGTCATGGTGCGAAATTTGAACTGCTAACGAGAACTGATGGTAGGCAGATTCGTTGGCGGTCGGCTTAATACCAAACCTGACCCCTAAGGTCTTTGTGTAGTTCATTATTTCAGGTCACATCTTCGGTTTTCGGTTAGAATCACCGTACAGCAAGCCCCCGTGAGTATGGGGGTCACCCCTTCTGCTTCTTTAAATAGAAATCTGTGTATATATGTCTATTGTTATCTATTAAAATCCCATCAGGGATGATAGAAAACGTTTAAGGAGTGGTAAGGTTATAGGCGTAAATAACGGCAACAGCATTAATACTGCGGGAACAAACAGTCGGAGAAACAGACGTTCAGAAGTAAAATGAAAAATAATTAATAAATTACCTTCTGGTGCTTTCGTGATCTCGACATTAGCTAGTGACTTTGGACTACGTGAGCGAGACCGAGACCTTGAGATAGATCGATATCGTTCATCTCGACGTTCATGTCTTCGCCGCCGTTCTCGGTCACGATCCCTATCCCGATCCCGATCCCGGTCCCGGCGCAACCGGTCGCGATCCAAATCACGGTCATACTCATAATCACGATCCCGACGGTAAACCTCATCTCGTTCATCCCGTTCGCGATCCCTTCCGTACTTCCGATCTCGAGTGTGACCATCTACTCGCTCTCGATTCCGATCACGCGATCGTGAACGAGGTCGTCTATCGTACTCTAAATATGGTGAAAAGAAAAGTGTGAGTAATCAAAATCTGTGAACCCAACCAGACAACAACCAACGCTTTCATAAAACTATTGGAAATTCGACCAATAATGCATAACAATTGATTCGAACTGAAGATCTTTTAGACTCTATATTTTCGCACAATCATCAGCCAGTCAACCGTTCGCGCTCATCAATAATGCGTACCCACCGTCCCGTCCGGGCTGTGAACTCCAGACCAACAGCACGGAAGGCGTGTAACCACTGTGTTAGCCAGCACATCAGGGATGAAAGGAATAACAAACTCCAATTTGTTCAAATATCGTCTTTAATAATAGCCAGTCAATGATAGCTAGCTTCCTGAATGTATAAACGACTGAATGAACCGGGCGGTGTACTTGAGGATCAAGTCCGAATGATGGTCGATTGAAATTTATTTACAAATATATATATATATATTGTTGGTCCAAAAACGAGAACTCCACTCAGAGTGGAAAAATTGCCTACGAATTGACTAGAATGACACATATAATTATCACAGTATACGAAAGTGCAATCCGATTTTGTCGTAAGGTATTCAGTTGACATTTACTGACACTCGTGAACTATTCCGATGCATATCATTCGACCGCTACTCACAGGTGAGAGGTAAGCATTCGGTATCCACCTGTCATTAAAAGGCGTATCCCGAGTGATGCATCGACGCATAACTGGTATGCGATCCAATGGTTCCATACTGTGTGACGCCATGGATCAATGTTTTGGTGGTGCACGGCTTCGTTTTTGCCCGGTTCAATACCATTTTTATACTAATGAAGCTTTTTGTGATTAACCACTCCAAGTTTCGGGGTCCCCTGAATTAACAGGTCTTTTTGACCCTCGGCAATTTATCTCACAACGGTGTGAAATAGAAAAGTCACTAATCAAAGACAGAAGGATGAACTTTCAGAGGTCGAAGGGATGGAGGTAAACGGGTCTAATTGAATAACTTGACATTGTTAAGTGGTGGAAGTTCAGTTAAGGTTTTGGGAGCTGTTTGATATTATTGGAAAAGTTAACTAGCTGTAATCGATAAAACCGCGACTGATTTGAATTACCTGGAGATACTGGATGTGACAGAAGCCACTGCTAGAAATTGAAAAAACCTTTATTGACAATGAAGACAGTACTCCAGCACACTGGTGTGAAGAAGTCCAGTTATACCAATTGCATCATGGAGTTCACTGCATACAGTGACCTATTACATCACCAGTGAACAGTTAGAATCATTTCAAAAGAAGAATATCGAAAACCTCAAAATTTTGAAGCCTAAGGAATGTTGCTGATATGTAGTTGAACTTCTCAAAGTTATTTGTCAAGTGTTATCGACGGTGTGACACACAGAGTAGGTGCTGTCAATGTTAATACTGAAGGAAGACAAGTAGTGAGATTATAACTGTTTTTCTTTAATCCCCTCAATCGCTGATGTAAAACTTGCACGCACATATAAAATTCAAGTTGATAAATCTTAGTGAACAACCAGGTACGTATAGACCAGGAAGACTAAAATTCCAACCAAAAGGTCAACTTCAGTTTATTAGCGACTTTTGGGCTCATTACATAGGATGATGTAATCGAATTATAAATGCTCCACTAGTCGCCACATTTTTTGCATTGTGGCAAAGTTATAGTGGTTT